ATCCATGAGCAGGTTTTGTCCCAATATTACTTTACTTTAACACACACACACTCACACTCACACACACACACACACACACACAGAGGCAGCATAGTATAAAGGCCACAAGGGAGAAATTATCAGTGAAATGCTTGAGGGGAGATAATTTTCCAAGGCAGTTTTATGGTATTTCTTTATAGCCTAAATACTAATGTCCTGCTTACTGATTGTTTGACCATGACAAATTCAGGAAAGCATGTGTATGATCTCCCAAAAAAGAAGTGATTTGTCAAAAATGTGTTTGCAAAGGATTAGCCTAACAGCTAGTTCTCATCTGAAGCAAACAAATATTTCAGTGTTTGATGTTCCTGTTTCTTCTCAATGAGATGTTGCAATAAAACAGTACAACACTAAAAAAAAAAACCCAAACCTTAGCATGTGTATGTTGCCTTCAAGTTTCCTGTTGACTTATGACGACCCATTGGATTACATGGGGCTTTCTTAGGCAAGGAATACTCAAGAGTAGTGTTAGTAATTAAGGCTTCACAGTGTTGTCTTCAGCACTGAAAATTGTCACTCCCACTAAATGAAGTGGGCTGAAATCCAAACTTGTTTTTATCACAGAAGGTGAGGGTTAAAAATACCATATATATAAATATATTAAAAAACCTTTAAAAATAATAATAAAAGTAATTTTATATTAACAGAACAGCTTTTCTGTGATAATGCGTTTAACAAACAAACAAAAGCGTAAATCAGTTAGCATCCTGTTGGTTACTCAAATTTAAGAATAGACTCATTCGATCAATAGGTAACATTTCACTGAAAAGTGGGATTGAAATAGGATTAAGAACAGGATATAGGTCATTATGGACTGTAGAACTGATTCATATGAGAAATTATAACCCTGGGTGAATCTACACTGTAGAATTAAAGTAGCTTGACGCCACTTTAACTGCCATGGCTTAATGATATGGAATAATGGGTTGTGTACCTTGGTGAGGCATCAGCTGCCTTTGACAGAAAAGGCTAAAGACCTTGTAAAACTATAACTCCCATAATTCCATGGTATTGGCCGAATGGTAAAGTGGCATCAAATTACATTAATTCTATAGTGTAGGTGCACTCCATGTGTCTCCTCAGCCCACAATGGCTCACTTCTCCTAGCAGTGATTGTTATACACATTCACTCACACTTTTTACAGCATCTGAAAGCAATGTGGCACGTCAGTATTGGGCACAATGCACAGCTTTTGGTAGGAGCAAATAAAGCAATGAGTTATCTGACTTGAAATGTAAGGAGAAAGTTCTTGCATGACCCTAGTTGTTGGTGACTATGTTAGTTGTTCAATGATGAACAGAAGAGGAACCATATTGAATCAGACAAAAACTCTAGTCTAGCATTGTATTCATACATTGGGCAATCAAATGCTTATGAAAAGCCCACTAGTCGGCTGTGAGCAGAATAGCTTGTTTCCAAGTAACTATTCTTTAGAGGTATGCTACCTCTACTTCTGGAGGTAAAACATAGCCTTCATAACTATAAGTCAGTGATAGCCTAATCTTCCAAAGGATAGTTTAGATTCTTGCATTATATAAATATGACACATTTGAGGGTATATTGTAAAAGATAATTTACTAGTCTGGGCTGCAATTTGTACATCAGCTACTTAGCTAAGTATGTGCAATGTCACTGCTAGTCTACACATTAATTCCAAAGGGTAAGTATAAACAAGGATTCTTTTAATAATTCCATTTTTTAGAATTAGCCAAAATTCATTTCAAAATAAGACATAGGACCTCTTGACATGGCCCATTTGGGCTGTGTCGTTTTCCTAACAATCACTGGCAAAGGCAAGGCACGCAGGGTGGCTTGTGGCATCCTACATGCCCTCCCTCCTTCCCCTGTGGGGACAGGGTGCATCCCCATCAGATGGGAGAAAGGATGGCAACACGCAACAACATGTGTTGCCCCACCACCCTTTCCCCCATCATACAGGGAAAAGGGGAGGAAAGTGTGGCTATTTTAGTTGGACCACACTTTCCTTCTCGTGGTGGTGACCTCTACTTTGGGAGGAATGTGGGCGCAGCCTGGTGAACATCGTCTGATGATGGCCGGCAGTCCTTGGCCAAAAGCGGCAAAACAGGGCTGTTTTCGCCCCGTGTGAAGAGGTTCTCAGTCTACTGTTTCCTTTCCTTTCCACATGGTTTTATATTGTTACTATGTTTTAAATGTCAATTATTATTGAGCCACATTCATGGTGGGGTACTTGGTTTTTAAACAGAGGTTGCATGGCCACTTCTCAAGAATGTTTAGCTATAGATTATTTCCTTTCTCAAATCCCATCTAGTTCAATGAATCTTATGATATGCCTTTCCAGTAATACTCTAAAGCAGTGGTTCTCAACCTGTGGGTGCCCAGATGTTTTGGCCTTCAAATCCCAGAAATCCTAACAGCTGGTAAACTGGCTGGGATTTCTGGGAGTTGTACGCCAAAACACCTGGTGACCCACAGGTTGAAAACCACTGCTCTAAAGCCTTGAACCAGAAAGTTTCAGTTCTTTCCACAGTAACAATTACTTCCACCGTCCACTTCTCCTAAGGTGGATCCAGACAGGACTTTATCCCAGGAGAATCCACGTTTTACAAAAGCAAATCTTTCTGGGGGCCTGTTCACATGCGTGCTTTCTGGGGTGGGTGCCCAGATGCTCTTGTGGGACTGGCCTGTGAGAACATCTGGAGACCCTATCCTCCTCCCCCGAAGCTCCCAGACCCCTTTGAAAAGTAAAATAAACTTCATCCGGCCTCCAATACACTCCCGGAACAGCTCTCCTGGCACATAGAAATAATGGGCCAGGAGAGCGGGGAGGGAGCGATTTTACTCCTCCCCCTGCTTCCTGACACATCATTTCTACACACTGAGAGAGCTGTTCCGAGAGTGTCCTTGAGGCTGTGCTAAGTTTATTTTACTTTTCAAGGGGATTTGGGGGCTTTGGAGGAGAGGAGTGGGTATTCCCACAGTTTTCCATATTAATTTAGTCCAGAAAACTGGGAATGATGTCTGGACTGCAGTCCAGACACCGAAAATAGTGGGTTTATCCCACGCCTTCCAAGAAGGCACGGAATAAATCCACTGTCTAATTAGTTTGCTACATATCAGGGTTTTCCTTGTTTGTAGTGAATTAATTCGGGACTGTCCAGAACGTTGTCTGGACAACTCCTTCTTTATTCTGGGAGTTATCATAATAAAGGTGCTGTCTGGACGGGCCCATAGTTGCACAGAATTTTTCAATGGTCTCTCGAAATATTTTGGAACCTGGGGGGTTGGAAGTGTTAAATATCCCCCTTCATCTGCCTGCTACCACTCTTATTCCACACGGCACCATTATAATCTGGAGTAATGTCTTTCTTGACGGTCTACCTAAAAGGAGATACTGGAGCCATTTGTGTGGAAGCTTGAAAGGATGTTCAGAAGAACAAATGTGATGTTTGCTTCTGAAACAAATTTAAGTTTAGCCTAGAACTGAAGAACAGCTTCCCAGATGCTAGGTAAAGCATAGAATTTGGCATAGTACAGTTCACTCTTGTCCTATCTTAATAAGCAGTTTTCTTGTGGTTTTAATGTAGACCTGAATTGTTGCGCCCATGTAATTGTAACCCTTGTAATTCTAACAGTCACACAAAAAGGAACTTCCTTACAATCATTTCGTCCTAACATGCCTGATGTATTTAATTTCAGCTAAACAAATCTACAGAAAGACAAAACCTTTGCCCTTGCTCAGGCGTTTATCTATTTCCTTTCTATTCACCCAACCTGAAGCCAGAGTTTCCTATACTCCCAAGTGTGGAAAATAGGAATAAGATGAAGACATTTACAAAAATAATTAAAATACCTGCATAGCATAGATGAACTTTTGAAGTGAACATGTCTAAAATAGTTGTAATTACTTAGATCATTTTAGTAAATGCAATTCAGAATTAGATATGAATTGGAACCACACCATTAAATGGCAGCAACACAGAGACTTGGCGTAACAGAGGTTCGAGATTGTAAATTGTATTACGTTTTGATTTTATTTTACATCAGAAAGAGTTCTTGCAAGCATATATTACAAAAATAAAATAGCCACTAAATCAGGTCATTCAAATCTTTAAACCAGTGGTTCTCAACCTGTGAGTTCCCAGGTGTTTTGACCTACAACTCCCAGAAATCCCAGCCAGTTTACCAGCTGTTGAGAACCACTGTTTTAAATGTATTGGTGAACACTTGGCCTCTGTTTCCATCTTTTTGAAGCATATTAATACAAATGACCACAGGTTTTTTTTTCCAGAAAAAGCTTCTCTCTGTGTTCAGATGTTTCTGGCTTTTAAGTATTTCCAATTTTGTAAGACTTCTGAATACAAGATTTGAGAACAGACTGAGCAAGCTAGCCATTGAATATATTACCTCCAAACACTTGACCTAGAAATATAACTTTGAACATTCGCTTTCCAATAGTGTTGGTTTTTTAATCATTTAAGAGTGGTAAATATCACATGTTTGATGGATTAAGCAAACTAGTTTCAGAATAAAAAAATAATAATCTCGAAGTGAGACATGAACAAAGCTTTGTACAAGAACCAGTACAACCATAGACATATATGTACATTATTTGTCAACATTAAAAGCACTTGTAAAAATGGTTGAAAGGTTGTATTGCTGACTGAATAAACATTCCTGTTGCATTTGCTTTATTTCTTTGAGGACCTCATCACACTAGAGAATCCACTTTCAATCTAGTTTCTGCCTCCTGCAGAATTCTGGGGTTTGTAGTTTAGTGAGGCTGTTAAGGGCTCCTCTCTAAGCTACAAAACCCAGAATTCTGCAGGAGGCAGCAACCAGATTTAAAGTGGATTCATCCTCCAGTGTGATGAGGTACTCAGGAAAGACCAGCTACAAAGTGGAATTATTTATTTGTAATTTAATTTAAACTACAGCTTTCATCAATATGAAAAATACTATCAGAAAATCTGATTTTAAAAAAAAAAATGTGTCAGGAGCAACTTGAGAAACTGCAAGTAACTTCTGGTGTGAGAGAATTGGCTGTCTGCAAGGACTTTGCCCAGGGGACACCCAGATGTTTTGATGTTTTACCATCCTTGTGGGAGGCTTTTCTCATGTCCCCACTGATAGGAGGATAAAATCAAAGAATCCTGAGACATTTATATTTCTGTTTAATATATGGAGTAGCATAATCAACAAAGATTATCCTATATCAATATTCTCAATTTCCTAAATAAAAATAATATTGATTGTGTCCCTTGTGAGTCCTTTGTACAAAGAAATTGTAAACACCCACAAAGCAGTGGCAAAATCCAAGGAAATATTGTATTGAAATGGGTGATTCCCACCTTTCACGTTGTAGCCAGAAACCACTATGTTGGGCTGTTAAATCTTCTTGCCACTGTAAGCAAACACAGATTTTTGCAAAGTTTCCAGCAAAAAACCAATACAAAAGAAAACTTTATTCAGCTGGCCTTTATGGGTTTGCTAACACATCTTTGGGTCTTTGAAATTGTGAAAGGCTCAGCGATGCATTTCCACCTTTTACATTTCCTGAACAAGTAATATTTATAACAGCACACAAACTCCAGATTTACTCTCAACTCCAACTACTCTGTTGGGATTATTGAGTTCTTCAAACAATCCTGTTTCAATCACTTCTTCCTGCCAAGGTATGGGGACAGCACCTGTGGCAAATTTCTTGAAGAACTTCTTGTCTTTCTCGTCAAATTCAATTCCTCGCACTTCAGAGAAATCAGCAATGTCTGCAACATCTTTGGCATAGACAACGGATGGATCTGGCACAAAGGGCGGATCTATAAGGCCTGCCTCAAGCCGGTGGAAATTTATTGACTTGAAGAAAGGATGTTTCCTGGGATCATCATCGTTGCTCCTGAAATAGAGGAAAAGATAGTAAGACAAGAGGAGGCTAGATTTGAATTACTAATTTAGCCTCAGAGAGGCAGATATTTTAGACAAATTAACTGGTAGGGTCAGAGAGAAGTGATCAAACACATGATAGCTTCATTTATCTTTGTTTGCTTTTCTTTATGCATTATGAATGATCCAGCATTAATGGTCAAAATACCTTTTACTTTATACACAAAGTTTAACTCTGACCAAAACCTCCATCTGAAGCATGTTTATTTGAAAGTCAAGTCCCACTGGTTTCACTGAAATCATGTTCTGGAAATGCATCAGCATAATTCTAATAATCTTTATATAAGCCACAGTAAAAAGGTAAAGGCTTCCCCTTGACATTAAGTTTAGTTGAGTCTGGCTCTGTGGGGTGGTGCTCATCACCATTTCTAAGCCAAAGAGCCAGCATTGTGCATAGACGCCTCCTAGGTCATGTAGCCAGCATGACTGCATGGAGTGCCTTCTCACTGAAGTAGTACCTATTGATCTATTCACATTTGCACAGTTTCAAACTGCTAGGTTGGCAGAAGCTAGGGCTAACAATGGAAGCTCACCCCATCCCGTGGATTCGAACTGCTGACCTTTCAATCAGCAAGTTCTGCAGCTTAGCAGTTTAATCTGCTGCACGACAGAGGCCCCCGAAGCCCCAATGTTTTAGCTAAAGTTAAAATTCTGAGTACAGTTAGTTAAATCAAAACCCTAGTGCCCAAACTCAAAATGACAAGTAATTATTATGAAAGAGGTTTTAAACTGAGTCTTCAACTAATTCTTTTTGTAAATGAATTAGTTACTCTATGAGTTCCAACCCTTTCTTCCATTTTAGTTCATTACAATTATAGTTAAAACTAACAAAAACCAGAAACTTTTATAAGTTGAAGCCTGGTTCAAAATAGATGCTTTTCCCATTAATCCCATCTTTGCTTTGACATCCACAATCAGAAGGGAAAGCAGCACAAAGAAGATCTAGAATCATCTAACATTCTCCATTTATACCTATATACCTGAAGCCATTAAATAACTAAAACATTTCAGTTACATTATAGCTTTAATGTAAGTATAGCATTATTGTTGGATTTTAAGTAATAATTACTTGACACTAGTAATTTCCAAACTGAATAGAAATAAACATAAAAAGACAGTAAAGGAGCAAATGTCGAAGAAGCATTATATTATATGAAGTAAATAACATTTCTCATAACAATAGTAGTTCCCAACCTGTGGTCCTTGGACCACCAGTGGTCTGCAAGAATGAAAATATGGTTTGCGGCCTCGTCATTACCATACCATTGCCTCAAAACCACGTGGCGATGGGAGCAACTGGTCTCACAAAACCCTCTTATAGTGCTGAGGCAACAGGAATGTTGGCAGGGGAGAGGCTGACTACCCACGAAAGATTACTACTACCACATCAGCTCTAGATTATTAAATATGGTTTTCTGTGGGCAAGCAGATGGCGACTACTGCATGGCATATGTTCTGTATCAGTAACTAGAGCTGATGTGGTATATCCAATGCAACCCCATATAACCAAACCGAATCTAAAGTTGACCAAAACACAATTCATAACCCCTTTAGTACTAATGATGGGAGAGTGGTCCCAGGTCAAAGTGGTCCCTGTTCAAGTGGTCCCTGGTCAAAAAAAGTTAGGAACCACTGCATTAGAGGTTGGATTTATAGGGGAGAGTCATAATAATTTGTTGTTGTTCATTCGTTCATGATAACTAGAATTTTTTTTACTTAGTACAGTTGTTTGGCTTACTGCGTATATTTTCCCATCTTTTGTTGTTCATTTGTTTAGTTGTTTCCAACTCTTTGTGACCTCATGGACCAGCCCACATCAGAACTCCCTGTCGGCCGTCACCACCCCCAGCTCCTTCAAGGTCAGTCCAGTCACTTCAAGGATGCCATCCATCCATCTTGCCCTTGGTCGGCCCCTCTTCCTTTTTCCTTCCACTTTCCCCAGCATAATTGTCTTTTCTAAGCTTTCCTGTCTTCTCATTATGTGGCCAAGAATTACTCCATAAAACAACATATTTTCTATCTGCCTCAGTTCACTAAGATTTTCATTATGTTTTGATTGTATTTTACATTAGAAAGATGTATTGCAAATATAAAATAGCCATTATATTAGATCATTCAAATTTAATTACAAACAACCTGGGCTGGATTTACACTGTCATATAATGTTGTTTGAGTTGCATTATATGGTAGTGTAGAACCATATAATGCAGTTTGAACTGCACTGAACTGCATTATATGGATTTACACTGACCATATAATGCAATTCAAACAACATTATATGGCAGTGTAGATCCAGCCCCAGTTTTGCTTACAGAGAGAATAAGTATTATACACACACCAAAACATGCAACTCTGTAATATTTTACAACACAACTTTCTGTGAACACAATTCTATTGAGGAAGGTTAAAGTAAGAAAGCTTGAAAATGTCTATCAAAGGTGCTGGTGTTTGACTGCTGTCCAAATGATAAAAGCATCCAGATAAGTGGCAGGTGTAGGGTTATGAAATCCTGACATCGTTTACTGCTTGCACCATATAATCCTCATAAACCCTTTTAGACATGGACCTGCTGCTTCCTGCTGAGTTCAGTGCCAGCAAGCTGTGGGAGGGAGGAACATTTGCAATAAGCTCCATAGCCATCGCCTACGCTTTGTTGAGAAACTGACATTTTAGCACCATCTCCAGGCCTTTTTAAGCAGACACAATTCTTACCATAGGCCACTGAGTCCATTTTAGTAGCAAACAATAGGGAAGTGTAGTCCTAGTTTAACCATGGTCATCTACAATACAATACAAAACTTTATTATGGTCACTGACCAGCACAAATGTGAGGGCGATCTGGCTGTGACATTTGTCACCCCATTGATTGCCAGGGTTGATTTGTCATGGTCAACTTGTGGGGTGGACACACACCCCACAGGATCATGGGCAGAGCTCCACTTGATGTGGAGTAATAAGACAGCTTGAGAACTGATAGACACATAGATCAAACTCACAATTGAGATTCCATCTAGTCTTCCACAAGTATCAGCTCAGTATTTATTTTTTGTAGTTGAAAGCATTACTGATACAAGTTTGGTGAAATGGCAGACATGCTACTTGGATCTTACCATTGGACAAGTTAGCAATAATAAAGATACCTTTGTGTAATAAACTTGATACACCTTAGGGTTCAAATGCATTTCTATGCTTTTTTAATGGTCAATACAATGTTTCCTTCTGTTAAAAATTTATAATAATGAGGCTATAGGAAGATTATTGATTCCAGGGGTGGAAAACCTATGGTCTCCCATCTGTTCCAGAAAATATGATCATTCCAATAATTATGAATGTGTAGCCCAGCTCGAACAGAAGAGCTATGCATCCCTTACTCTTGACCTACTATAAACATCTTTAAAACTGAGATTCTTTTGAAAATATTAAGTTTCCTCAAGTAGAATTAGCCACATACGGGCCCATTAATGTCATGACCTTTTCAGGCTACTTTCAGTGGGACCAAAGCAGGTATCAGAACTCATGGTGCATGAACCATGTGTATCCTGCTGACATTTTTGCAGTCATTGGAGCCCCTGCTGCTAAATGTCAACAACATGGTGGTGAAAAAAATCCTACATTCCCCCTCTGAAACAAGAGTAAACAGACACTGTGCTTTAGAGGAAAACAATGCCACTGGAAGCTTCTGAGAAGGGTGAATTCACTCTTCCTTCATACTTTGTTTCATTTCAGGAAATATTCTTCCCAATTAAAGTAAGTAAACTTTATTACGGTCGATGACCAGATAATAATAGGGGGGCCCAGTCCCGCACATCCATGTCAAACCCAAGGGGTTATATTCTTCAAACTTCAACAAATTTTAAAATCTAAGCTAAAAACCAAATATAAGTAGTTATTAAAACCCAACTCAACCCATGAGATCATCCGAAGGCATTCTAAAGAAAGGTAGTGGGGATGGCACTGGGGAAGGGGTAATATCCAACACTATAAATATCAGTCTTTAGCTGATTTCCTATCTCTATTCCAGAGGTGAAGCTTAGACCAAAGCTTTTGAGCCCTCCACTTCCAGCTGTTCCATGCCAACCAATTCCAGATGTGTTCAGTTGTTCAACAACAGGTCCTGTAGAAGTATCTGGCAACTGAAATTGCTACCAAACTTGTCCACATGTAGACTATGACAGCGCAAGTGGCGCCACCTGTGTGTAGAACTTTAAAGTGCAAAGGTTTAAACTGTATAACATGCCCATACTTGCTTACTTTGTAAATGTATAGTTGGATTGATTGGTTATTTATAGCTGTCAATCAATGTTGTTTGCACCAGTTAAATTGCTCCCTCAGCTCAATTGTTTGGCCCCACCTCTTCCTAGAAGAGGAGGGCAGTGTTTCCTTTTCCATTCTACCATCAAACTTTCTATCAGATAGACGTGAGAAAGAGACTTGGCTCTAAAGCCCTTAATTAAGTTACCACTCATCACCAATTTTAAGGTTTTTACCCTTGGGACTCATATTTCATGTCCAGATCGCCCTGGACAACGTTGAGGAGACCCAAGCGCCTTCAAACCAGTCCTTTGGCATCAAAAGGAAGACTCTGTGCCTTCAACATAGGCCATTGGACTGGGGGTTGTGTTGTTCCGACCTCCACAGCCATTGAGAAAAGAGGGAACAGGAAAAGCTTCTCAGCTGCGAAATCTCCTTGGACTCAAGACAACCAGAGACTGTAATGTATATTTGCTTTACTCCCTTTGAAACTTCCAGCTTATTGCCTTAAAGGGATAACTCTTTGTGAACGATAAAACCTATTTTGAGTTATCTACAGTGTTTTGGTCCTTGGGAGATCAGTTCTCTAAAGGAAGGCAAGAAGCAATCCCCTGGAGGAAAGATGTCACGTCTATGTCTCTTTCACTAAGAGTTATAGCCCCCAGGCATGACGGCATATAGACAAAAACATGGCGAAATTTC